ACATGCCTCTGCTCGTATAATACACTTGCATTCTATTGTATCTGTTATCGTGTATGCCTTTGATTGTGCTGTGTTCTACCATCGACAATAAAACATGTCTTTCTGTCTGAATGTTAAGAATCGATCCCAGACTTGGCACATCTTCTTCAGCAGCAATGCTTGTCCAACAATGGCCATTAGGATTTAGTTGTAATTGTAAATATTTTTTTGCAAAACTACTCAATTACATACAGTCTTTAACCTGTATGGAGAGATCCTTATATTGACAAAGACTGGTAGGTCCGAACCATCTTTTTGGTAGCAATTATTTTTGACCAAATACAGGTTGTAATTAATAAGCCAATCCTCATTTTTACAGGTTCTCTGTCCTCCAATACTGGTACAGTAGAGTTTAAATCCAAACGTGCCTGGATTTTCCTTCTCATTTTCAAACATGAGATTATTCCCATCATCCATCCATCCATATTCTTCCCTTTAATCCATTTCTGGGTCAGGGGAACGTTGCCGGGCGGTGGCAGTCAGAGCTGCACCCAGTACACAGAGCACCAGCCCTCACTGATCCTCCTGCAGGTGGTGAGTCCACAGGAGCTGAGATCTTTCAGCAGGGGCTTCGGGCAAAGTAGGGTTAAGTGTCTTGCCCAAGGACACAACGACAGCAGACATCAGTGGGAGTCGTGAAGTAGGTCTTATGGTGGGCTCGAACCCATGGCCTTCAGGCTCAAAGGCCAATGCTCTACCAACTGAGCTACTGTCGCCCCATTACTTATTCCCATCAGTATTCCCATCAGTTTTCCCCAAAATCTCTTGTAGAGCACAGACACAGGTGAGTCCAGTGTTAAGGCTGAAGATTTGAGGGAATTTTGAGAGGAGCCCATGGATCTAGGTGGAGACAACCGGCCCTTTCTGGAATCAGTCCTGACTCCCCTGCTCTCGGACCAATAAAGCACACAAAATGTTTCTGTGAAAAAACACAGATGGGGTGAAGGTGAAGTGCAGAGTAGCCCAGATAATTGATAATTGCTTTCAAAAGAACTAATACAACTTGAACTTTTGCACATATTGTACGTTTAACACTGCAAACATACAGTACATATTTTCTTTTAGATTTAAAATGGGAAGCAAAGTAACGCAACACTATCTGTGAAGTGAAAATGATTTTGCCTTTGAAAAGTGGAACTATTTTTGTCGCTGCAATCAGTATGACTTTTACAAACTTATTGGCCCAGAAGTTTTTGTCCGTTGTCTCATAAGATTAGATGGAGAGCGTTTGTGAACTTTAGTTTTCAGGCCTAGATTTAGGTCTGGGCTAACAGGTTGATAGTTTTGCACCATGCATGGCTTCCTTTCAACAGCGGCTTTCACAAAGGCCAGATTATTGCTGCACATTACTAATATTTGCAGATGTACAGATTTCCCCTGCTCAGCTACAGAAGTTTGCAGCTCCTGGGGTGCAACTTAGCAAGTTTGCAGTGGTGCAATCTTATTTCCTGCGTAACTCTCTTTCCATTTCTGAATAATGGATTTAAACGATGTTTTGTGAGAAGTTCAAAGCTTGGGAAATATTTGTCTAACTTCTCTGACCTCTATTGTGGGTTCCTTGGACTTTATGATGCCGTTTAGTGACCAATGTACTAGATATAGCTCTGAGTCCTGAGCTCTGGTAGTCTCAGAACAGCTTATCATACTTATTTACTTATAATATTTATATTATTTATACTTAGAATAAATTACACATATGGATTCTATTTTAAGGCGTATAGGGAGAAGCTTGTACCAATTACGATGCCAATAATTGGTCTGTATAGCTCACTGTCCATTATTGACAATTATTGGCGGCCAGACATGTTTATCACTGTGTCTGTTTATACCTGGTTAGCTGCGAACACCGGCTCTCTGTGGAAATTGAAAAGTAGAAAAAGTGATTAGCGACTGGGTCTGTGGGGTGAAAAAAAAATCTGCGCAAATTCGTCCTAAATACCTTGTTAGACATTCAACCTTCAATAGGACATATTCAAAGGCAATGGTGTGCATTCAGAGAAAGGAAGACATTGGCAGCCCCTGAAAAATCCTGACTTTCACTTCACATTTGTCTGTTACTTTGTTGTAATCTTTCAGATAAGAATGCAAAATAAAATTGTTAATGTTTGTGGTCATAAATTTTGTATTTGCTTGTTACCAATTATTATAATATTTGTTGTTTTGCTCTGGTAGGATTGTTCCTATGCATCAAACCACAGCCTACACTCCCTGTTTACCTTGAACCTTTATTTCAGCCTCAATCCTCGCACAGACTGACCATGACCTTCATCAACATACCACATTATTCTGAAAGCAAATTAGGTGTGTATTTATGAGTCCAAAAGTCATTAATGAACACGAGTAAAAAGTCACCACATGAGGACCTCACCAATAGGCGATTTTACATAGATTCACATGTGAGTGACTGTCTATTCTGTTTCCACTTCTCCCACTGAGTCTTTTATTTATAATTGAAGACAGTCTCGTACTGTACACTGTGCTCATAGCACTGCACTATCATGGATCTTGTTTGAACTCCGCTTCTCTGGAGTTTTTCCCCCACTCTTATTATTCTCATTCATTGTTGTGTGTTCCTTTTAGTCAGGCTTGTTATTTTTAGATGAAACATAATAGTCAGAATTTTCAGTGCACTTGTGAGAGTTCCACATCACTTCCTTGTGTTTAATCCATATGACATCTCTTCAGCTTTGACTGCAGCTTTTGAGCTTCTCCTCAAGCTCTCATATAAATAAAGACACAAGAAATATTACAGTGAGTTTCACCCTCATCATTCAAAGACCCATTCTTGAATGTCAATATCCATATTTAATAGTGCGGCTTTTTGTGCATGTGTTATTGCACATTATGCAGCGTTTCCGTCTTTTATTAATCAAACAACACTGTGAAATGTGTGTCACTGATCTCAGCTGTACCTCGGAGCAGTGAGTGAAAATAGAGGAGTATGTGTGTCACCAGTATATCCAGAATATAATTCTCTTTGGTGCAGTGCCGCCCGCCCTGCTCCTTCTGTAATCTACCAGAATGTAAATTACAATGCAAATACTTCTGAATAATTTATGTTAGTCTCGTGTTCCCTCACACAAACCAGGGCTTTTGCTTAAATAGAGTACAAAGCCATTGTGAACCCACATTGTGTTAACTACAGCATTGCACCATAGATCCTACCATAAGAAATCAATTTTCTACAGTTAAACACAGGTTACACTCACAGTAACAACGTAACAATGATTAGACATTTGCACATCTGAAACAGGATTATGCCAATTGTGTACGCTAGTATTGTATTGTATATTGTATTGCATTATTTTTCTTTGCACAAAGTAAATACAGATGATCACACAAAACAAAACGGAGATGGTGTGTGACAGAAACCCAACAGGGCCGACTATGAAAGCCGTGCTTAAACACTCATTTAGAAGTCCAAATAGAGAGAAAAGCCTATCCAGTCCATTTGCGGTAAACACAGACAAATATTTTGTCAATGATTCATCCATATATTGACCAAACACAATCCATAATTGACTTTATAATATGATATGCAAATAAAAATGTTCTTCTAAACCTAATAAAAAAATAGATGACATGTTAGAGACAAGCTTAAGATATGCCCTTCCTCCTCCCTCCCACGTTTTCCATCAGCGGTTGTAATTAAGCAGCCGCATTCATGAGTAGCAAGCTCATTTAGGCTACATCTGTTTTGGGCTCAGGCGGCTTTAGAGCAATGGAGGAGCAAATTCTGGGGGAACATGGCACACTATTAAAACTAAAGGATTACACACAGAATATCAATACAGAAAAGTTGCGTATTTTCACATGGCTTTAGGTGCATTTCTAAATTGTGCAGGCCTTTATTTCTATCATAATAATAACAGAATGCTAGTGCTCCAAACTAGCAGAAGAAAAAAAGCTCAAATGTATGTTGTATTTGCAAAACAGCAGTGTTACAGTTCGGTACACAGAATTATATTATTATAGACTTACAATTGTCCTTTTTTTATAAGACTACAATGGCATTTCTGGCCTTGCTTCAAATATAGATCGATTTAGCATATAAGAATGACTCCCCAGATTGGGTGTGTGCCTATATCAACACACACTGGGAGAATGAAATAAAGGCTGAGCAAGAGCGGGAGAGAGATAGAGAAGCTCATTATAATCAGGCAATTATGCTGGCAGAATTAGAAGCCCCCTTATTTCCTCTTGTGGTAGGACGCGCACCAACATTTTTGTGAGGGACAGGGGTCTACTTTCTGGACGTAACCCACTATTTTGAATGTGGACTAACATACATTTTAGAATGATGGGGATATAAACGTGTATGATTTTTCTTTTTTCTTTTTTTTTTTTCAAAGCAGTGAGTTGCTGAGCCCCCCTCAAGGTTAGGGGCTTTCATTTGCATTGATGAGGATTTTTTTTTGTCCCAAGGTCTGTGGATTTGGCTGAGCGGCATGGCAGAAATGGCTTGTATGGCAAATGCATGTTTTTATAAATGTTCAAAATATTTTTGTGTGTTAAATTTGTATTTTCATTTATATGCAATTGTTATACCATATCTGTATGACACTGTGGTGAGTGTGCATGGTAGCTGCAATTAAATGTAATAAAAAATATTGTAGATTATAATAAAATAATAAAATAAATTGTCTATTGTTT